ATGCTAACATCCTTAAACGTACTTGAATGAATTTTGATCTTGTAATCTCTCTTTTGTGAGTGTCACGGTTATATATGCCATCAAATCGATCACAAAGTATTTTGGCGTAAAACAATTACTCTATCCTTTATTTTTTTATAAAACTTACATCAAATCCACAAATTTCTTACATTGTGGGACATAGTTACAAAAGTAGTATTTTTTTTTATCAAATTGAATGCGAAATTTTTAAATGGAGTGAACTATTATGTCATTTAGATTGAGATCTCAGATACAATTCCCGCTTGAATAGCTCAACGGTGACTGAGTGAGGAAATTGGATTGATGTCCCAGTTTCAATTCCCTACAATGACAGTATGAGAGTTTCATCTAATGTGTTAACTCTTTGTGCGCATCAAACCAGCTTACTCGTATACTGTTTAATATCGAATCGTGATTTACTTCTCCATCATTCCATTCGACCTGAGTGTGAGAGTACTCGAGGCATTCCATGAGTTGTACACAAGTTGTATACAAAACCTCATTAGTTGTCTGTATACACAGACAATTCATTTAAAAGGAGCAGCACTTGATGTCAAATTGTTTGTGTATACAGACAATGTACACATTTTGTGTAAACTTGTGTACACCAAGAATTGTCCATTTTTAGAAGAAAATGGAAAACGCAATGGGGGCAGAAGCTCTTAATGAAGCAAATGGGTGACGTAGAATAGATGTACCATCTCTTGATTTTAGGTAGATGATAGAGATGCGCAATACGCACGTATTGCAGTGTCACTCATGCATTATAGGTATCGTGTGATCAGTACTATTGCATTAAATTATACTGAATGACTCCTTTCTATTCCACGTGACAGTACCCCATGCTTTCTCATTTACTCGGTGCTATTCTGAATCTGACTTTGACATAAATTAAAAAAGAGTTTTTTTTGAAATATTACTAATAATCAATCTAATAAAAATGTAACTATTCCCTCTATCTCATAAAATAGTTCCCACTAGGATTCAGAATGAAGTTTAAGAAAGTGAGAATAAAATCGAAATGTATGATTAATAAGTCCGTATTAAGACATGCATTTGATGCGTGTTGAGATCGGTTATTGATGGTTTCCCTAATTATTTCATCACAAGTCTCAATTTTAGCTCAAGTTATGTTTACTAGACGTTGGTTCGTGTTTGTTATTTTTTGGAGTCAAAATCAGGATATTTGAGCCTGACACCGGCGTTTAAGAAGCAATCGAGACAAATCGTGACGCATTTGAGAGTGAATTAAGAGCTTTGGAAGTCAATGGAAGGTTTACTATGAAGTTTGGAAGACAAAAGAGCTCTAGGATCGCCCACAAGATCAAACGAAGACTTAATTTCCATTTGTTTAGAAGAAAATTGAAGAAATTGAATTTAGCCGCTCACACGGCAGTCCACACACCGTGTGCAGAGCTGTGTGCATTCTGAAGTTTCTGTTACGCCCACACGGCCTTCCACACATCGTGTGCAGAGCCGTGTGCACATTCGAAGTTACTGTTCACCCGAAACGCGGAAAGCCTTGGTCGCGCACATGGCCGTTCACACAGCTGTGTGAACGACCGTGTGCGGCTAAAAACGCCCCAAAAATTCCGATTTGGACTGAATTCGTCTGTTTCCTATAAATAAGGTCTTCATTCTCCTAATTAACGGTTACAAACTTCATAGAGAGGCCTAGGGACGAATTTATCTGCATCTTTTCCTCTGTTTTCTTCAAGACTCTGGGATTATTTGTAAGTTCAATCTTTTTAATTAATGACAATTATTTCTAATCATCCCAATTCTGTTGATTTATCAATTATGAGTTGTGAGTAGTTTAATTAGGGATTTGTGATTGATGAAATGGTTGATCATGATGTATGACTAGTTTCTTGATGGATTAATTGCATGAATGCCGTTTAATTTGTGTCTGAATAATTTAATCTCTTGTAACCTAGAACGCGCGCTAGAATTACAATTGCTTGTAGAATAAATTAAGAGAGATCTAGTTTATTCTAGGACACATTCACACACACTTAATCGTTTGCTAAGAGATTAGTAGCGATTAAGGGGCCGTAAACTTACTCGTCTTGGCAATAATTTAGGATCTTGTCGCATGAGAGATCAGACTGGTCCCCTAAATTATTGTACTCTACGCCCCAAGAGTGGTAAGAACTTAGTAACGATTAATTAGGCTCAATTAAATTAATTTCATGTAATTAAGCCTGATCTGACAGAAATCTGGTTACCCCGGAATCAATCCATATTCCCTTCGTCATTAGTTAGAGAGAAGCCAATCTTGTTAATCGTTTAATTGCATTTTAATTTTCCAAACCAACCAATCTCGCACAATTGCCTTTTATTTTATTTCTTTTTAATCGCTGAATTTAGTTAATTTTTACTTCCCTTTTGTCCGTCCCTGTGGAGACAATACTCGTACTTATACCCTGTACTACAATTTATTTTAAGTGCGAGAAAACTCACATCAGCTTTTGGCGCCGTTGCCGGGGACGGTGTCGGATTTGAGGGTTAATTAGAATCAGTGACTTGCATTTTAGTTTTTCGTAGGATTTCTGTCTTCAAACCTTGCAGGTCAGATCTGTTTATGCATACATGCTCTAAGAGGGGAGAACTGCTTGTCCCTCTTAATCCTGAGACAGAGAAGCTCGCTAGACAGAACCGCAAGGCTCTAAGAGAAAAAAACACAACCATGGAACCATCATCATCCGGAACTGCTGGGACGTCTGAGGTTCATACCACATCTGATAATCTTGATTTTTACGTCAATACCTCACCCCAGTCTCAACCGCCCATTTCACCTAGACGCCCTCCCGACTTTCAGAATTGCCGCACTACAACACTATTCCCCCAAAATCAGTCCACTCCACAACTAAGTCTTCCCCCACTATACCGGTTATTTCAAAATGCCTTTATTGCTCTCGAAACTACTTTTCAAAACCAAACTTATGGGATGCAAGGCGTAGGGCAAAACATTCCAGTGTTTCAGCCATGACAGAATCCACCCCCAATCACCTAAAATCCATTCCAAACTCATCCACAAAATCAGCCTTTTCAAAATCCTTTCCAGAACCAAGTACAGCCTTAGCCGCAGACGTATTACGTTCAACCGCAGCCGCAACCTAGACAACCTTTCCAGCCTAGACAGCAGGCCCCTCCGTTCAATGCTAATGCTTATGTGCCGCACAACAACCCGCTCTACCAGGGACAAACCATTGCAGATTTCCTTACTCCCGAGATTTTAGAGTATGACAACATACAAGTGCTGGGAATTACTGTCAACCTCTATGAGATCAAGCCAACGGTGATTAACATGGTGTCCAATAATCAGTTTGGAGGAGGCCCTACTGAAGATCCAGTGGCGCAAATTACTCGATTCCTGAGGATGTGCCAAACTTGCAAGATGCCTGGAGTTGCTAATGATCATGTGCGGATGTTACTTTTCCCTTTCTCACTAAGGGACGATGTGCAGAGGTGGCTGGACAACAATCCTCATCACCATATCCAGACTTGGGACAAGCTGCATAGTGCCTTCATCAAAGAGTACTTTCCTACATCAAAGGCATTGAAGTTGAAGAAGCAGCTGCAAGAGTTCAAGCAGGGACCTTTGGAGACATTGGCTGAAGCATGGAAGAGATTCAAGGTGCTGAGAAGAGCTTGCACTCAAGGCAAGACGAACAACTGTGAGGTTCTATTCTTTTTCTATAGCCTCTGCGAAGGGAAGACGATGCTCGATGCCTCTGCGAACAGAGCTTTTCCTCAATTACCATCTGAGGATGGAGAATCATTAGTAGAAAAGATTGTTGCTAATAATGCATCATGGTACAACTCAAGGGATACATCTCAGCAAAAGGCTCTCAGACTTTATGAGATCAGTGATAATTTTGCCCTTTCTGCACGAGTGGATACTCTGGCAAGTATGATGCAGAAGCTCACCACCAGAGTGGATATTCTGGGAAAGAAGGTGAATCTTGCTCACTCGGTGCCTAGTGTGAATATGGTAGCCCCTGGACCTAGTCCTTCTTATAATATGTGTGGGGGACGCCATTGTCGCATGAATGCAATATGATGGCACACTCGACAGCCCCTGGAGTGGAGCAAGTTGACACGATGTACTTTCAGAGGCAGGGCTACTACAATCAGCCCTACGACCAGCAGCAACACGGAAATTACGGGCAGAGAAATCAGCAACAACAGTAGCAATAGTCCAGGAAAAACAATCAGCCCCATGCACCTCAGGCCCAACAACAAACACTTCAGCAGGTGCAAGGGAGTTTGAAGAAGGAGACAGATCAAAGGCTTTCTAGCTTGGAAGATGCATTCAAGGAATTAGTGACCACGACCAAGACATTCATGACCACGACTAATGCAAGCCTTCATAACATGCAAAACCAAATAGGTCAGCCCGCACAGACCGTTTCTGAGAGGCCTATGGGATCCCTCCCCAGTAACATAGAGAATAATCTAAGAGAGCAAGTGCACGCCATCACGCTAAGAAGTGGAAGGGATCTTGAACCTGCTGCCACGGAGAAGAAGCCCGCGGAAGTTGTACCTGCTAAAGTTGTCCATGAGAACACAGGTGCAAAAATGCCATTTAGAGGCGCTTTTTTTTGTGCACGTGCGGCGCTTTAAGGCGCCTCTAATGAGTAGTGCCGCAACACGTTTTTAGAGGCGCTTCTCTGGAAGATAGCGCCTCCATTTTTTTCTTAATTTTTTTTCTCACTGGGCGTGCGGCGCTTCTTTGCCAAAAAGCGCCTCTAATATTGAAAATATATGTGATGCGTGCGGCGCTTCTTTGCCAAAAGCGCCTCCAAATTTGAATTTCACAGATTTTTTAGAGGCGCTTTATCAAGTGAAGTGCCTCTGAAATTTTATTAAATTACAAACATTTGTATTAAAAATTCAGCTAGATTCTCTGCTTTATAATACGTAAAACTAATTCATACAATCAAACATATCCAATAAAAATAGTACCATATCATGTATCAAACGCATAATGCAGTACATGTTTTCATTAAACATCCAATCAACATTCATACATTAATACAAAGTACAAATTGTTTCGCTATGTAGTTTTTTCTCAAATTTGCAATACTACATCAAGACAATATCTTGACCATACATTTCTGATTACATTGAGCTCCGCTAATGTGTATGGTTCACTTCTTGAACGTCATACCTGCAATATTTATTGAAAAATGATCACAAACATATTCAAACTTAATTACAATACAATATTCATATAATAAATAGCTTTGCAAGCTCACAATTTATTCATACCTGTCCAACATCATAATTTTCATAGCGCCTCTATTTGACGTTTTTCCACTAGTGAAGCAAAGCAAGGTGCGAGACCAGTTATTAACAAAAGAGAGAGCGCTAAAATTCAACAACATAGTTAGCATATTTACTTTAAAAATATATACTATCATATATAATTATTATTATTATACCATAATACAAGTAATAATCACTCATATTCCAAGCAACAATTTGATGTGAACCTGTTAATCCGAAAATAAAGACATTCACATTATTATATTCACTATTTCACTTAATAGCTAAAAAGAATAAAAAAACTCCAAAAAGTAATGCCTAGTACTTCGTATAAAAAGTAAAATATTCTAAAAAATTAAATGAAAATATACTGACCTTTAGCTTGCGGCCTAGAGAGCGTTGGGCATCTACGGTCTACGGATCTACCGAAGTCCGAGAGCACTCGACGGTGATTGAAATTCACAGCGGCGGTGACAATCAGAGCAATCAGCAGCCACAAAGATACTCGTCGAGGCGGCGGCGGCAAGCAAAGCAGTAGGTGGCAGCGGCCAGGAGACCAGTGGACATTGGCGCAGCAGTCGGCGGCAAGCACAGCGTCAGTCGACAAGGCTGGAGTTTCTTTCCGGTTTGCGCGACAAGGCTGGACTATGGAGTTACGATGATCTATATTCGATCGTTTTGAAAAGGGCCTAGGGTTAGCTAATTGAAAAGCATCGGATCGGAGGCGCTTATTTGATAGAAGCGCCGCACGCCGCACTAATTTTAAGAAAATGACGGATCCGATTTTTTTATTCAGAGGCATTTCTTCCGGGAAAGTGCCGCACGTGTCCCAAATTTTAAAATAAAATTTACAACGAAATTGGTTCAGAGGCGCTTTGGACTAAACAAGCGCCGCGCGCATATGAAAAAATAAAAGATTGAAATCGTACAACAAATAGAGGCGCTCGTATAAATAAGCGCCTCAAATGAAGCGCCTCTATTTGGCATTTTTCTACTAGTGGAAGGAGAAGGAGGAGGAGAAGAAGGAGGAGGCAGCCCCAATTCAGCCCATTCCAGTCAAAGCTCACTGCCCACCCCTCCCATTCTCGCAACGCTTAAAGGGAAAGAATGATGCCGAGGACTTTAAAAAGTTTCTGAACCTCTTTAAATAGGTTCAGATTAACTTACCATGAACCTGGGTCTTTAAGCTTTTCGGGTATTTGCTTTAAGACTACTGTCGAGCATTCTGCATTGAGATCCACCACAGAGCATTCTTCGAGTTTCTTCTTATTTGTGACTTGTGAGCAGTTCTTTTAAGAACTTGGCGTATTTAGGCATTTCTGCCAACACTTTGTAAGTGGCATGTCAACATGTAACTTCCGCATCATCTCCATAAACGGGTACTCTCTCTGACGGTCACCCTCTTTCCTTACCCGAGCGGGGAAGGGTAAACTGGGGGCTGAAGATAGTTTTGGTTCTTCTTGGTTTAACTCCTCCCTCTGGACATCTTTTCCTTTCACCTTCCGGACAGCCTGTTGAGCCTCAAATTCCGTCTCAACTGTATGGTCTTCCTCTTTAGTTTGCACTGGGACAGATTCTAAACTCCCTTCATTTTCTTTTGAAGGACCTTGGACTTCCTTGCCACTCCGCAACGTGATTACTTGAACATGTTCATGTGGGTTAGGCTCAATAGTGCTTGGTAGGGTACCCAATTGTCTCCCGCTAAGAGCAGTCACCAATTGCTCAATTTTGGACCCTAATTCCTTCAAGACTGAGACGTTTGTCTCCACTGATTTCAAGCGTTGATCACGTTGTCAGGTCTCAGCTGCCCTTTCCTTCTTGAGCTTTGTTATTTCAGACATCACCATGTCATGTTAGAGTATGAGAGGTACCCTCTTGTTGCCTCAGGTGTGGGGGTATATAAACCTGGTTGTTTGAGTTGCTAAATTACCCCTTTGATACCCCTGATTTCCTTGGTATCCACCATATCAGTTGTTGTCTCGTCATTGGTTGTTTCCACCTGGATAGTTTACTCTTGGATTATTGTACCCAAAAGCATTCCCTCTATTATTCTGAAATTGATTAGCCAGAGGACCTTCTCCCTTCCTTGCGTACTCCAGTAGGTTCGCCTCCTTGTGTTGAGCTAAAGGAGGTGTTTCTTCATAGTATGGGCACAAATTAGTCAAATGTGTCCCACAACAAAGATCGCATGTGGCTATAATATCTCTGCATTGAGATGGAAGATGTGTTTGATTCCCTTGGGCAACCCCATGTTAGACGCCAACTTGATTCACCGACTGAGTATTGCTTTGCTTATCAAGAAGCTTGGTAAACTTGGATATAGCAGCTTCAAGCTTTGCTGCTAGGGCCGTATGGTGGTCAACTTCATGTAAGCCTTCCCTTACCGGAATTGCTCTCTCTGTTCTTTCATCGTACCAATATCTTTCATTGGCTGTTATCGTTTCTACCAACTCTTCGCTCTCTTTTGTAGTCAACCTGAGAATGGATCCCGTCTTTGAGGAATGGTCGAGCTCTTTCTTGCTATCAATTGTCAGTCCATGATAGAAGTGAAAAATGGTGTCAATGCTCTCCATGACTGATGCTGTACATTTACTTCTGAGCTCCTTGTATCGCTCCCAAGCCTCACACAAGCTTTCGGTTGGTGCTTGCCTGAAATTATGCAAGGCGGCCTTAGCTTTAATCCATGCAGATGCTGGACAATACTGGTTCATAAAACCCTGGTACAATTCATCCCAAGAAGCAAAGGTATTACTATCTAGCCAATGCAGTGCTTTGTCTCTTAAAGAGAATGGGAAAAGCATCAGCTTGTTGGCAGCTTCTGTGACTCCATTAGCTCTGTAGGTACGACACAAACGATTGAACCAGATCATATGACTACGGTCATCTTCATGCTTTGCCCCTCCGAACTGATTGCTTTGTGCCAAATTGATTAGACCAGGAGGAAGCTCATAGTTTACAGCTTGAATTCCTGGCATTGTAATTCCATCAGTTTCCGTGAATTGCGGAGCAATCTGGTCATACATGGTTCTTCTCACGCTCGCCTGCTCATCTAGTCATCTCCGTCTTGAGCCATTGTTTCAAGAGTTTTTTTTTGCCTTCTTCTTAAAAGAGAAAGTTCCCGAAATAGGACTAAAACAGTTTGAAAATTCCAAAATAGGACTGTCATGTTTTTTATTCCCAAAATAGGAGTAATTACTGCCAAATTTGGAAAATACTGTCATGTTTGAAGTCTGGTACTGCCAAAACATGGCAGTAGTTAGTCCTATTTTGGAAATAAAAACATGTCAGTCCTATTTTGGAATTTCCAAACTCTTTTAGTCCTATTTTGGGTAAATTCTCTTCTTAAAATGCGCTCGGATTAAAAGGTGTCAAGTCTTTAGATCCCTAAGAGCGTGTATGCATGCACAGGAGGCAACCTAAAACAAATACACAAAAAAAACAAAAACAAACAAAAACAAAGTGAGGAAGTCTCACTAACTCGGGTTTCACCTATGCCAAAAATAGAAATCAACTTCAAACCGTGCCATTCCCCGGCAACGGCACCATTTGAGTGTTTGACAACCCCGATTTCTCGGCGTTGTAGTAAAACGTAGTGACAGTTCGAGGTGGAAAAATTAACTCCGAGTATCGTATCTCAAAGGAATGGCGAAGGGTAAGGTTGATTTCAATTTCGGTCACCGGTCAATTCGAGTCATTGCAAGCTTTCTCAAATGATCAGTTGTGATAACGGTTGAATAAATTAAAATAAACAATAAAAGTATTAATGGAGAAATTAATTAAACCTGAGTAAGTAAAAAAATTAAAGATGGCAAACCAAAAAAAACTTCAATTGCAAAAAAACATAAGTTCAATAAACTGGTAAACAACTAAATGATGAGTTTTCTTTCTGTTTAATTAAATAAAATACTAATATATAAATTCAAAGTGACTAGCAGCAATATAAATTCAATTCAATATTCAAAAACCACTTTTAGCCTTGATTCATCCAAACCCAAATTCCTTAAAGATTAGCCAAACATGATTACACAAAAACTAACAAATTTGATTGAATGCATTCACAATCCACAAACATAATTATAAAAAATCAAGATACCAATATCAATTGAGAAGAAATTCTAGAGCAATTAGCAATGTCTAAAGCAAACTAAGAATAAATAACTAAGCAATTCAAGTGAAAGAAACTGAAAAATGAGACTCAGGGATTAAAATTGAATGATACTTGGAGCTGCAATAAAAAAATTCAAACATACTGCTGCTGCAATTTTTTTTAACGTCTACGGCTGCTGCTCTTCTCCAACTAGTGGCTGCTGTTTTTTTCTTTCTTTTCTTTCTTCCACTTGAGGCTTATTCTTCTCTGGTGCAGATGTGTAAAGAATTAAGTTTTGATGTCAATCCTATTTTCCTTAAGCATGGTGCGGCTGAAGACGATGCTGCTGGAAAATTTCTTTTCCAAGACAAATAGTTGCTGCTCTTCTCTAAACCAGCAGCTGCGATTTTTTTTTTCTTTTCCAGCTTAGGGCTTTTTTTTTCTCCCCTGATGCAGGTGTATATATTTGAGGAATATGCGGCTGAAAAAAAATTATCGAGTGATTCTTCTTTCCAAATTTAAATGCAAATCAAGGAAATGATTTTGATCTCTTTCCAGCCATTTCTTTTTATCCGCCCATTCCGCTTGAGAACCGTTCTCTGAATCTCTTCCTAAAAATCCTCCGCCCATCCTTATCAGTTTTGCTGCCGTTTTTTTTCTCTCTTTTTGGGTTTGCAGGACCAGGGTAATAAGAAACAGACCACTTTCATTTTTTCTTGGGCTATGAGGCCCAACTAACCTGCCCAAAATTCATGCTTAACTCCAATTTAACTTCGAACGGGTTCCAAAGTCTGCAAAATCATCCAAAAACAACGAAACACGCAGAATACCAACAAAATGATAAAACTAAGGATTTCCCCGCTAGTTAGTGACAAAAGAAAACCATTTATGTGCAAAATTGGGCCTAAAGCATGCTCGAAATCTTGTCATGTTTGCCACTTATCAGCATGCGAGAAATAGACAAATAAAAATAAATTATTGACATTTATATGTCCTTTTTTCCACGTTTTTGTATAATTTTGATAATAACGTTAAGCACAATATCTACACTCTAGACATTCTTCTTGATATCGTGAGGAAAAAAAACTTACCAAAGATATATAACATTGTTCAAATAAGGAGAGATATATTTTATTTACTACTACGTAATATTATTCATGTGTTTATCTATCTCATGTCACATGTACACCATGACGTGAGAGAGATACAAAAAATTAAATTTTGGCTATCTCCCATGCCACATATGCATCATTCACGTTTTTAATTTGCATTGGAGATGCTCTACCATAGCAACCGCAATTAAGCTATGTATTTAATACTCAAAGTACGAGCCTGTTACCATGCTACTAACTTTTATTTAAGGGAAAATAATTTAAATATCTCAAATTTTAAAGGGATGTGAATAAACACCTCAAACTTGCACATGTAATATACATACCTCACACTTTATATAAAAAGTCATGTTAGTATCTTCATTATATATTTTTTCACAAAAGTTGAGAAAAGCGGAAGAGGCTAGGTCATCCTAGGTTTTTTTGGAGCGGCAGTACTACTTGTCTGCAAGGTTTTGTTTCGCAGCAGGGGTTTTGTCTGCAGCAGGGCTTCGTCCGCAGCAAGGGCTTTGTCCGCAACAGGGATCCGTTTCGCAGCAAGGAGTTGTTCGCAGGTTTCACACCATCCGTTTCGCACCACAAAACCCTTCAGAGGTGTTAATGGCTTTCCGCGTTTTCGAAGGGGTCCGTGGATATGCGTCGACTAGGGTTCTCAGACCTGATTTTCAGATGCTTGGGCTGGTTTTTTTTTTTGCTCTAATGGTGATTGAGATGGGAGTTGCACCAACAGTGTTTGATCCTGGTGGAATGCTAGAGGTGTGGGACCCGATTAAAGACTCAATTTTACGGCAGGTCTTTCATCACTTGGGATTGAAGGCAGATGGTGAAACGGTATTGGTCTGTCCCCCTCCTGAACCACCGCCAGAGAAGAAATGAGCGGCTAGGGTTTGGGTGCTTCTGTTAGTTAATTTTACTTGTTTCATTTGTTATTTTATCGTTCAGCACTTCCAGATTAATTTTTGCTTTGTGAACACTAGCGGTAGTTTCTGTAGTTGTTTTATTCAGATTAGGTCTGTGGGTGGAAGCGATAAGGCTTGTATGGCCGTTAAAAGCTTCGAAGCTCTCACATGGTTAGCGATTAGTCTCGCTCTTTTTAGGGTGGTCTATTCTATGTCTAGTCAGAGAGTGGGAGGACCATTTGGTTATGCGGAGCCTCATAAGGAGGTTTGGCGTTTCGTGGTTGTGGAATTGTTGTTATCATTGATTGCTATAATATTATTAGTTTTCCTTTTAAAAAATATATTTTTTCACAAATGTAACTGTATGATTTTAAGTACTCCGTACATAACTTAAATACACAAAACATTTATGAGTAATGCATGCTCATTTTATACTGGTGTTATGCTCAACTTAAAATGTCACAGTATATTTTAAAAGTATCATATTAATTAGATTAGATTCATGTAGGAGGTGATTATAAATATGAGAGCATAGATCATGATACTCAATTACGTGTTTTCAATACTCAATAGAGAATGTTTGATGCTCAATAAAAATGTCTTGAAGTTCAACTAAAAAATATGATTTTTCATAGCAATACTCATTTTGTAAGTTACTTTGCTCAATTGGTACTTATATTATGCTCATTTTTAAAATATATTCATGCATAATTTAAAAGTTGCATATGACATTAGATTCACTTATTGAAGTTCTTAGATTATTTAATGAGCAACCAGTACGAAATGAGCATACATAAATTACAAAATGAGCATTAATATGAACATTTTAAATTTTGTTAGCTGAGCGTCAAGACATTTTCAGGGAGCATCTAACCTCCACTATTGAGTATTAGAATTGTACGGTTGAGTATCATGATTTTTACTCTCATGTCTATAATCAACTACTATGTGAATCTAATGTAATATGGTGCTGTTGAAATATGCATTGATATAACATTTTAAAATGAGCATAACAGCAGTACCAAATGAGCATCAAAACGTACATAATGAGTATCTAGAAATTAAAAAAATCATTTGTGGACGTTCATTCTTTGTAGGCGTATACTCATTTGAATTTAATATAAACACATTTATAATCAATTTCTAAGCAAATTAGTCTGGGGGACATGTGATTTTTATCCAACTGAAGAAGATGAAGGAAACGTGGTTTGTCCCAATCCCATGGTCATCTATGTGGGCTAGTCTGGTGTGCTTGTAGCTCTAACGGCTGCAATGACATCAGTCGTGTCCGGCCATATTTGTGCTTCTTGCTCCTTGGATCCCAGATGTTGCTCCTTGGATCCCAGATGTTGAAACCTTCTTTTCCAATTACAAATTAAAAAGAATTTCAAAAATATAATGATTAAAGACAACCTATTCTTAACAATAGCATTGAGCAGTGTTCCTGAAGTCCGTAGAACTCCCGACCCCAAGTTCCTAAACCCCAAGTTCCAATTCACGGCCAATTGCATAAATAATTGAAGACAGTCAATGTGTGAAGCTATATGCTTAATACGGAGTAAGTAATACTAATACCTGAGACTGGAAGGTTGGAACTTGGATTTCTATAAGGCACAATTGCCTTATGGAGAAGAACAGGGCGGCAGGCCATAAAGGAAGATATCAAACAGAGAAAAAGAGTGAATTAAAATCGGAATTGCAAGAGTTGGTAAATTGAAGACGGTCGGGCAGCGTCTTCCGAATTTTGGCTTCGCAATCTAGCTACTTCGCCGGTGATGAGTCTCGTTAGTTGAAGCCTTCTTTTCCAATTACAAATTAGAAAGAATTTCAAAAATACCTGAATGTACCTGTACACCCGGGTGTACGATATAGGAATTCGAGAACTCGGGGACACTTGTTTTTTGAGATGCAAAATCTGGAATTGACCTCTTTTCCTATCAAATGAAATCTCGTTGTCACATGGAGTTGACTCCATGCAAGCGAAGCATTCAATGTAGAAATCCCATTGTCACTTGCACAATATTCTGTAGGACTGATTGTTAAAACTGTTTCTGCTCCTTCTAAAGGTCTGTTTGCAACAGCTTCTGCTTTTAAAAAAGTGCTTTTTTTAATGAAATGGGGAGAAGTGATTAAATAAAAGTTGATAGTGTTTGAGAAAAAAGTGATTTTGAAAAGTAAAAGTGGGTAGTGTTTGGTAAAATAAGTGCTTTTTGTGTAATAGAAAAAGTAAAAACACTTTTGACACGGAAGCCGAGAAAAATAAAAGTTGTAGTGTTTAGAAAAATAAGTGCTTTTTTAAAGCCAAAAGCTGAGAAGTGCTTTTTTAAAAGTAGTTGCAAACCAATCCTGAGTGTATCATCATTTAATACACTGAATCAGTGAAAGAAGTACTTTGCATTTATATAGAGGCAATGCTACATTTATTTATAACTTGAAGTTGTGTTTGTTTCCAAGAATGTAACTTGGTGTAGGATTTGGGTTGTCCAGGACCTGGACCTAGTTAATAATAACGGTTTGAAACATTACTGAAAAAACCTTGGTCCTATTCGCGTCCCATTTAAATTGGGACAGGCGATTTGGGAGGGTTCAATAACAAATTCCCCTTAGCCGAAGCACATGAAGTATCAGATAAAAACATTTTTAGGAAGTTTCTTAATAAACAAACAGAGCATTTGTTTGAGAGCAGGGAGAAAAAAGTGAGATACTATTCAAAACTGAGATCCAAAACGTGACCTATTCGTGATTTTGTACTCAAGTTTAGCTTTCGTTATACTTAAACACACACACACAGCATTCTTAACTACTTTGATTGGTAAATGACAATCTCTTTCTTTATATGTTATTACAGCACCATGAAGAACGCGTTCGATATTACAAAGTCAGAAGTTGCAAGAGTTTTGTGCAAGAAGCATGGAGAGTTAACTGCACAAAGCTGTGTGTTAAAAACCTATTGATGATTGGTAATACCGTAGAAGTGTTCGTCTGAAAGTTGATGAAATCGTGTTGAGCATTCTTTACCAGCAGTCCAGCATGGCAGCAGCCAGCAGGTAGTTTTTGTATCTGCTGTTACTTTTGCATCTACACTATCTATCATCAACGGTTTTAATCATTACTACTTCCTTCTGGAGCAATCCTATACTTTTGCACGGAGCTCAGATAAGGGTTCCAAATCACTGAAAGTGAGCATGTAACATCTGTCAATAAACGGGCTTTCTGTACTGAAAGATTTGATTGATTACTTCTGCTTAAATAGCTGCGGAAAACAGGTTAACTCTTATTTGTTACTTCTATCATGTGTAAGAAAGTTAAGTATAAGGACAATAACTCGTGTAGTACTTCAATTATGTGTCTCTTCACACATATAAGTGATATAAAAATGTATAACGAGATTCTCAATGATGTGTGGAAACAAATTTACATTTTTGGATTCTTTGTTATATTTCATATATGTTAAAATGAATTTAATGTTATTTCCATGCCTTCACTTTAAGTACATTAATCTGCAAGATATGGAACTTATCACACATTCATTCAAATAAAAAAATTGTCAACAAATGTCATAACACATTCATGTTGGCCGACCCCAAAATCTTTTGGGAATAAGGCTTGGATGTTGTTGT